TGTGATCTTGATTGGGAACCTGAGTACAGACCCAAATTAAGAATAAATGAAGAAATTGTTTGTAATGTGAACTTTGAAATGATTTATTGAAATAAATCATGGAAATAAATTATATGAATTAATTATTAGAACCTTTTTGAATAAAGGTCAATTGAATCAATTTTGACTTTGTCAAAGTCAACCACCCAAAAATATGATGTCGGAAAAAGTATAACGAATAAATATAAAAATTATACCGTTGGATAGAGTTTAACTGTCAGATCGCAACGGTGCAAACGGAATTCAATTCGGATAAAGTTGGACCAAAAAGTGTACCCCGACTGGGACCAAATTAGTCCCGATCAGAGAAGAATCGTGAGAAATTCATTAGCATCGCAGCCCTGCGCACTAATCGACCCATCATCACCAGGATCACCAATTGTCTTCTTCCTTCTTCTCTGGCTATAAATGCTACTCTCCTCTTCCTCATTTCCACACCAAAATCTTTCCTTCTTCTTTCATATGAGAGCTATGAATATGGAGAGTACATAGATGCTGTCAATTTTGTGAAAGGTCGCCGGAGATGGGAGTAATCGTTGCCGGAAGTTTCGCCGGAAAATCGTCAAAACCCCCCTTACGCTTCAAGGTAAGCCCGTAGATATATCTAGTGACTAGAATGTTCATATAGATCGTTTCTACGTTCATAAACGACCATTTGATTGAGTTTTGTGTTTGATATGCTTCAAGAACCAAGAATCATAAATTTGGAAATTGTTGTTAAAACTTCAAATTAATGGTATTTAATTGATCTATTAACATTGGAGAACATTTCTATAAAGTTTAATTGAAGTTTGGTGGCTAAAAATGAGTTTTCGAAAATCTGACCCGAGGTTGAAGATGAAGCACTGTTTGCTGGTTGGCAGGAAAGGTCGACCGTTTTGACAAAAGGTCGACCGTTCTACCAGAAGGTCGACCGTCCCTCCACGAAGGTCGACCGTTCTGAGACCAGAAACTCCCATACCACTGTTATAATAACGGTCGACCGTCGGCTGAAAACGGTGGACCGTTCCGAACACTGTCAACTACGAAAAATGCTATTTTTGAGTTCTAAAATCATATTTTTGATGCCAATGAATTATAACTAATATAGATATGATTTCTTGAAATAAAAATGGTATTTTTGACAAATAAAATGTTATGTGATGCATGACGGTAAGTTCGGGTGTTAACACTCGAAGCTAGGCCGCTATTTGCTATCGAATGTTATGTTGATTGATGAATGATTATTATGATGATTATGGCTTGAGGAAACCACTGATTAAAATGATTATCAAGGATTAATTTATGAATTGAAATGAATATGTTGATGATTATGAAATGATTTGGATTGTAAGAAT